CGAGATACCCACACTGTCATCAATCTGTTGTTCGGACTCGTGCGCTGGCAGTTCGTGGAGATTGGCACCTCGCTTCGCATAAGCATCAGGCAAGCTATTGGCATCGGTGACCCTTCCCTGCTCGTCGGTCCACTGTGTATACTCTTCAGCTGTGCGACGGGCTTCGACATGCGAAACTGCCCGCACGCGAAGAACGCCTGGCACCTGCTGACCAACCAACTTCACGCAGCCGTCATGGGCTCCTGGGGACGGAGCTGTGCCAGTGTGGACCCGTGGCCGCCTCGCGCGCGGCCGGCCGCGCAACCTCGCGTGGGCGTCGCTGGGCGACGGTCCGCTGCCCGGCCCTCGGCCGTGGCAGACTGCTGCGGGAGCGAGCCGGGCGCCGCCCCCGGGCCTCACCCGGAGCGGCCTGCCTCCCCGCGGGGTCGGGGCGAGGACGACGGCCCAGCCCGCGCGGCGCAGCGCGGCAATGGAGCGGCACGCCGCCCCAGCCCGCCGGCCGCGAGCTCCAGCTCGGTGGCGCTGCGGGTCGCTGCCATCGGGCCACCGCAGTCGAGAGTGTGGGCCTCAGCGCCGGGGTGCAGCGGCGGCAGCGGCTCCCCCTCGTGGGCGAGCGCCCCCAGGGGTGTTTCGCAGGTCGCCGACGTTGTCGATCGCCTCCTGCGCGAGCTCCGCGCGGACCTCGCGCTCGGCTCGGTCTGCGACCACATCTGCCCCCGTGCAGGCGTAGAGGCGCGGTGGTGCAGCGTGTGGGGCTGCACACAAATGCAGAGGCCATCGGTATCGTGGCCTCTGTCCTCGGCACGGCTTCTGGCCCAGAGGCCTTGGCAGGCGCAAGCGCGAAGGAGGATCGTCTGGTGCTTCGAATATTTCCGAGAGCGCTCTCGGACCATACGCCATGTGTACTTCAGCAGACAACTCCCATTTCTCTGAAAACCGTCACCACCCACCAAACCACCCCAAGCCAACCCGAAGCCCTCAATTTGCCCTCCATTTCCAGTGTGGGGGGGTCGGGGAACGTTGAAAAAACACATGGAATCTGTACCCCCCCCAACCCGAAATTCGGGTCAAATTCGGGCCTTCGGGTTGGGTTGGGGTGGTCTGGTAGGCAGTCAAACCGGCACTCCAGCATGTGCTGCATGCCTTGACTGAGCCACTCCTCCCGCGCCGCAGGCGTGAGCTGAGCGACCCGAACCTTCTTATCAAGAGGGTCACTCCAGAAGATGCCACTGTGGACGGCCCAGCCCGCTCGCTCGAGACACAGCGCTACCCTTTCCAGGGGACCACGAGATTTGTGCCAACTAAAAGGCCTGCCCAGGTAGGTGACAGGTACTCCGTATTCCATAATAAAGGCGGGGGGGTCACATTGGGGGGGGGGTCTGATTTGAGCTGTCTTGGAGGGTTCGGGGGGGTCTGGGCAAAGGGCCGCCCTTTCATGGATGGTCTGGGGGGGTCTAAGACTCCTCGTCTGGGAGGGTTGTACCCCCCTCCCTTTTAAAAAGAAATCTGGAGTAGGTGACAGGTAGGTTCTGATAGCAACGCGCGTTCATGTCGGTTGGCGGCGTCCCACGTCACGCGACTCCACTGGAGAACTGGCGGCGCTGTTTGCTTGATGGCCGGGCCGCCGTCGATGGCCAGCTTCCCTCTCACCGAAACTCCACCATGATAAGGTTTGACCTGACGCACGCCATGGGTGCATGCTGGTCTTGCCCCTGCGTGATCACAACTCAAGGGCATAAAAAACGCCCCTACCCTGGTTTACGAGGCGCTGTGCGCTGAAACTCCTGTGGGCTGACAGGGTAAACCCTGCGTGATGTGCCGCGTCCTGGCGGCTCTAGGCTTTGGGAGTTCCCAGGAGGTTTACAGACCACGCACTTGTAACCAGGGTAGGGTCGTTTTTCCATCCCTCAAAAAACGACTATCTTCCCGTACTGGCATGGCACGCTTGTGCCTCTTCAGCTAGCGCATGCGCATTTCACCACCCAGCATCGCGAAGCCCGTGGGCGCCTTCATGTTGTCAAACTTGTACTGCAGCGCGTCCAGGTCGACCTCCTCGTAGTACTTGGAGTAGTCAGTCACCAGGGTGACGGAGGGCATGTTGGATGACACTGCCGCCTTGGTTCTAGCAGCCAGCGTCCATGCATTACTAGTCGCACCCGCAGGCTTCGGCAGTACTGGAAGGGGGATCCACTTCAGCTGCTTCGGGAGGAGGCCGAGCGACTCGCATGCCTCCCACAACGCGCTGAGCACCAGCAGCGCCTTGTCGTTGAGGAAGGCGAAGCGCCCAGGGTGGATGCCATCGAGGCTGCTCGCCGCGGTCGAAGGTCATGTCTTAGCTGCTTCCCGAATCTGCTCAAGGAGAGGCCCGAGGGAGAGACTCTCGATCATGTATCCGCGCACGCTGAGCCTCTGGAGAACTACGCCACGCCTTCATGCACGACTTCTCCGTGTATCACGTATAACATTGTGCGGATGAGCAGTGGCACCGCGCTCGCCAGTGGCGACCGTCGGCTGCTGGGCGCCCCCGTGCCTCGTCAGCCTGTGGAGCCCACGGGAACCTCCGGCACTGGCTTGATCGCACCGGGCCTTCAGCGCGCGTTGCTATCGTGTCGGGCCTCCTGGTTGACAGCTTGCGCGTCCTCGCCGATGCCGTCGAGCACATCGCGAAATCCGCGCGGACCTCCGAGTTTTGATGTCTATGCCATTCTTCGTTCCCCTAACGACAGCGTCTGGAAAGAAGCGACCTCCCCCGCGAGCTTCGCAGCCTCCTCCGCTGGGGAGCCCTCGCCGAGCCGAGCGATGTGGGCGAGAGCGTCGCACGGCCGGCGCCGGCCCTCTGCCCGCGCCCGGATCTCCCCGAGGCCCTCCGCCCCGTGCCGCGCCTCCCCCCGCGTGGCGGCGGGGCGCCCGGCGAAAGAGCTCAAGTCCTTCACCTCCGTGCCTGCGACCATCTCGGGGGTGGGCAGAACCCCCGCCCTGACGCGTCGATCAGTGAATCGTCCGCTCTCGGTTCTCGAGGGGGCGCCGCGGCCGTCGTTTCCGAGGCTTGCGGCCGCCGGGTTTGGGCCCGAGGCCGTTCTCACTAGCCAACGTTTTACTAGAGGGGGTTCTGCCCATCCCCGACCATCGCCAACCTCTTCGCCGCTTTGACCACAGACCGTGCGCCTGCAGTGGACGGAGCGCCCCACGCACCGTCCGCGCGCTCCTGCTTGGCGAGCTGCACGGCGTGCTCGGCGTAGGCGGCCTCGATACCCCGCGACTCCTCGGCGAGGCGTGGTCGGTGAATTTGGGCTCCTGGTATTGTAGTTTTGTCGGGGCTAGACTCAAGTCGGACATGTCCCTGTGCAGGAGGAATATTCTCTTGCACAGGGTGTCTAGAGCTCCGACCACATTAGTTCGGCACGGCACCCCCTCCATCGCCCACACATTCCACCAGCCAGCTCGCCCCTCCGCCCCGACCCCTTTCTTTCGGCAGGGCACGCCCCTCCGCCCGACCCCTTTATTTCGGCGCGGCACACCCCCTCCACGCCCCCTCCGCGTCCCCACCACCCACCAGCCAGCGCGCCCCTCCGCCCCGACCCCTTTTATTTCGGCACGGCACACCCCTCCGCCCCAACCATTTTATTTCGGCACGGCACGCCCCCTCCGCATCCCTCCCACCCACCAGCCAGCGCAGCCCCTCCGCACGCCCTCCGCCCCGACCCCTTCATTTCGGCGCGGCCCACTCCTCCGCCCCGACCCCTTTATTTCGGCACGGCACACCCCTTCCACACCCCCTCCGCGTCCCCGTCACCCACCAGCCAGCGCGCCCCACCGCCCGACGCGTCTTATTGTGTCACTGCGCACTTGCCCTCCGCCCCGACCTCCCTTATTTTCGGCGCGGCACACCCCCTGTTGATTCCACATTCCCGCCACCTACAGCGCGCCCCTCCGCCCCGCCGATTTCCGCACGGCACGCCGCCTCCGCATCCCCCCCGCCCACCAGCTCAGCGCGCCCTCCCCCCCGACCCCTTTATTTTGGCACGGCGCAAGCGCACCCTCTTTACCCCCGACTTCTTTTTATTCCGGCACGGCACACACCCTCCGCATCCCCCCCACCCACCAGCCAGCGCGCCCCTCCGCCCCGACCCATTTTTATTTCGGCACGGCACACCCCTCCGCCCCGACCCCTGTAGTTCGGCACGGCACACCGCCTCCACATCCCCCTTACCCACCAGCCAGCGCGCCCCTCCGCCCCGACCCCTTTATTTCGGCACGGCACCCCCCCTCCCCCTCCATCCTCCCACCCACCAGCCAGCGCACCCCCTCCGCCCCGGCCCTTTTATTTCGGCACGCCCCCCCCCCCCCCGCCCGCGCGCCCCCTGCATTTCGGCGCGGCCACACCCTCGCCGCGCAGGCTATATGCCTTCATTATCCGCACGTCACACCCCCCCTTCCGCATCCCCCCCTGCGCCCACCAGCCACCATCGCGCCCCTCCGCCTCGACCTCTTTATTTCGGCACGGCACCCCCCTCCGGTCCGACCTCTTTCATTTCGGCACGGCACGCCGCCTCCGCATCCCCGCACCTACCAGCCAGCGCGCCCCTCCGCCTTGATCCGTTTATTTCGGCACGGCACACCCCTCCGCCCCGACCCGTTTATTCCGGCACGGCACACCGCCTCCGCATCCCCCACTTACCAGCCAGCGCGCCCCCCCCCCGCGTCCCCGCCCCCTCCCTCCCCGCGCGGCCCCGCGCGCCCCCTTCCGCATCCCCCCCCACCCACCAGCCAGCGCGCGCCCTCCGCCCCGACCCCTTGTATTACGCGCCCCCCCCCCACGCACCCACCCACTCACAAGCCAGCGCGCCCCTCCGCCCCGACCCTTGCTATTCGGCACGGCGCGCCCCTCCGATCCTCCCCCTTCCTTTTTGTGCAAGAGCCATGGCACGCGTGCCACTTGTTCCAAAAGAGTCAAACAGTAGTCCAGGGACGATTTTTTTCTACCATTTTCGATCATTTCCGGGCATTTGTCAAACTACCTTTTATTTGCCGTCCAAAATCCGCCTGTAGGAGGACATGCCCGATGTAAGGCTGGACCGTAGGCCCGATGCTTCAGGGACTGACCGTCTGCCGCCAGCGAAAAAACTGAACAGGGCGGTGGGGCTTGATCGACCAAGCCGTGTCCGCCGAGACCTGCTCGAAAGACCTCGCGGCTGCGAAACTCAGCGCAAGGACATCGATAGTCGAGCGCGACCTCGCAGTGCGGCACGCGACAGCTGTAGGCACTGCCAAACTCACCTGGGCGGCGCCCGTGAACGTGGTTTCGACCGCTTCGCTGGGAGCCATGTTCCAGTCGCCCCCGATGATGCACGGCTCCGTGGTGCCTGACATGTCCTCACCCAGTGAGCACAAGACTTCGGCGATGCGGACGGTCATGCCCTCCGACGTGTGCAAGCGTAAGTTGGAAACGTGCAGCGCTTCCTAGCCATGCAGGTCGACAATGACGTGCTGCGCCCTGTGCTGTGCGACCCGGGGGCCATCGCGGCCCGACTGCACTGCGCGCGAACGCTGCGACCCCAGCAGAAGGAAGGTGTCCATCTGTGGAGCTGCCAGGAACTGCAATCACTTGCCAACTGCGAGCACCTGCCCACGACTGCAGCTCCTCTACCTCATGTGCGCGATTCTCAATATGTTGGGCCAGTGCCCCCAGCGCCTGTGTCCTCTCAGGTCGTCGCTTCAAGGCTGGCTTCCCTTGAGCGGCGTTGAAAGTCTCGAGCAAGTGCGACTGCCATGAGCGAGCTGGCGCATCAACGGGTGGTAGCTCGCCTCGACGCAGCCGCAGCCCACTCACGTGGGGCCAGTGGCGTTCAACGCCCCGCGCCTGGCTGCCCAGGGCCGCCAGTCCTGTCGCGCTTCGTCCTGTGAAGCTCCGCGACCAACTCGTGCAGCCGCTCAGCCACCTGCTCCTCGGTCTGACCTGCGTCGGGGCCCGCGCACGTCCTGCGAACGTCGTCCACGCGCAGCGGGGCAACCGAGACGCTTGACCGCGTCGCCCTTCTCTTCAAGTTCGACGTCAACTGCACCTGCGCCAGCTGGCATGCCGATGGCCTGGTCCTGTGGGGCGGTCGCGATGGCGACGTGCTTTGCCAGCGTCCGCTGCAGGGCGCCGAACCTCGCTCGGATGTGAACTGCTGGCAGAAAACCTTGACCTGGGGGCCTCGAGCTCCGGCATGCTGACCTGCAGGAACGTGGTCGAGACCGCGGGCGCCGCCGCCGCCTCAGCAGCCGCGACAAATGCCTCGCCTCGCTGCTTCTGCAGCGCCTCCGCGCAGGTGCGCACCTCCGTGGTGAGTGTGGTAGTCTCGTTTTTCTCTGGACGATGGCAGCCTCAGCTTCTCAATTTTCTCGCGCTTGTCGGCGGCCTCTTCGCGATGGCGGTCGAGCTGGGCCCGACAGCGCTCGAGCTTCTGGGTCGCAATCTGGCGTGCCATAGCTGGCGGCCGTAGATCGCGAAGTTGAGCTCGAAGGGGCTCCAGCTGCTTCTTGGCCGTCGCGAGCTGGTTACTCTCCGCCTCCTCGTAGAGACCGGGGCCCTGGACGAACTATTTGTAGTGGGCGATCCTCGCCTGCAGAGCAGCGCGCTTGGCCCCCGTGTCGACGTTGCCATTCTGCTCGCCTTGCTTCTCAGTGTCCGCCTCCATCCCAGCGTCAGCTGCAGCTGGTGGTACATCGGGAGCCGAGCGCTTGTCCTTCTTGTTGAGCTGCTGCACCTGATTGCGCAGCGCGACCAGCTCGTTCTCCACCTCCATGTGCCTCTCAGCCCACCGCGGCAGCACGCGGAGAGGTACCCTTCTCCTTCTCCTCCCGAACCGCAACTGCAGTTACCTTCTCGTCCTGCCGGCGCGCCTTGGGCACGACGTGCTGTGGTGCACGAGTGCCACGCCTGCACTGTATCCCGCGCGCCCAGTTGTTGGCCGCACCGCAGCGGCTGCATCCCCAATGAGGACGCTTCGGCCCTCGCAGCATCGCACCTGCGCCGTCAATCGCCATCGTGAGATGCTTCCGCTCGAGATTCGAGGAGGTTGGAGAACATGTATTCTTGCATATGTGCAGGGGCAATATTTCCATG